GGGGGGGGACAAAGTAACAAGCATATAAGAGAAGAAGAGTTTCGGATGAACTTCATTTAGGAGGTTCCTACCTATTCTAAGGTAGCGTATATTGAAATTAAAAGTTAAAACATTAAGGTGCACTGGTCCACCCCGTGAAAGATCAAAATGCTTGTTTAGTGTCATCCAACACCGCTTTGTCAGAAAATTTTACTAAATACACATAAATAGTATGGAGAAAATAAATCATGAAATAAAAATGACACCACTTGACCGAGGGAGCTTCTTGGGCCACTGGTGAAACGTCTCAAATTTCATGCCAAGCATTTCTTTTCATGTTTCTTTTGCTAAAAGGTTATTAGTTAATAGAATCGAACTCTTTCTACTCCTCCAGAGTAGGGGTAAGAGTCTGCGCACACACTACCCTCCCCAGACCCTAATTGTGGGATTCTATTAGGTTGTGGTTGTTGTTGTAGAATTGAACCCTTGACCTTCTCTAATATAAAAAAACTAGACTAAATCATTTAGCCAAGGCCAATAATAAAAACAAAAGTGATAATAAATTATATAATGTTATTACAGTGATTTATTTAATGATGCAAGATCAAGAATGCTAAAAATCCAAGAATTTCAAGAAATTGAAGAAGTCCAAGAATCCATTCAAGATTAGGAATTCTTTTCCTTAAAGATTGGATTTCTTATTTCTTGTTTCCTATTAATTTAATTTTTATTTTAGTAGGATTATATTTGTAGTTCTAGTCAAACTAGGATTGTTAGTTGGTATCCCATTCCTACTAGAATTCTTTTTTCTATTTTAGTTGGGATAGGTTTTCTTAGCCTTATTCTTATTCTAGTTTAATAAGGATTAATTTTCATTAACCTTACCAATTTTACTCATTGTAAGACCTATTTAAAGGGCTTAATATGCTGAAAATAAACATTGGTGATTAGTTTTTCTAAGCTTTTGTTTCAAAAATGTGATTGATCTGTTATTTCATTCTTCTTCCTTTATTCAACACTTCTTGCAATCTTGCGGGATTGAGGAATGTGCGGTGAGGCTTCTTTCCATCTTACATTCTTCTAGCGTGAGTTTGAAGAACGCTTTCGCTAGTTTTGTCAAAAACTTTAGAAGGGTGCTTTTGTTTTTCTCTCTTCTTTGTACTTGAGGTGCAAAACCTTGAAAGTACATCAATTTGGTATCAGAGCCCAAGTTTCAGGTCCGAATTCTTGATTTGCTACCTTGTTCATCGTGTCACCAAACAAGAAAATACCAAGTTCGGGATCCTCTTCAATGGATCTTCAATTAAAGTTCATAAATTAATAAGTAGAATCCTTGAACGAGAAAATAAAGAAATTAAAGTTCAACTAGATGGCTTGAAGGAATCAATGGAGAATCTGACTAAATTAGTTAAATGCTTGGTGAATCAAAATCAGCCACGATATCCGCCACAAAACCGACAACCTCCATTGCCGCCACCACTACCGAGACGCAATATACCAGTGCTACCACGACATCTTCCACTTTGAGATCCACCAATTCAACCGTGTAGAGCATGACATAATGAGCAAGCGGAAGAATTTATAGCTGACCAGGGCATAAAAATACCAATGCACCATGCCCAATATGATAATTGTTCAGATAATCAAGGGACTGAAGAGGACAAAACTGATGAAGACCAATATCAAAGAAACGAAGACCAAGCATTGGATCCAAAACTTGAGGAATTACCACCAAAGTTTTAGGACGATCCATTGGATTACCCAACTATGTGTGTCATTGACTTTCCACCTTTTAGAGGTGCTCAACACAATATTGACTTGATTGTTGACTCTATCAATGCAAATAAGACAACATATTGTGTTAATTCTAAAGTCCACAGAAATATGCTAGAACAAGAGGAAAAATTACCTATAAAGGAGTGGATAATGGAGAGTTTGAGGTATATTGGAGAAACGAGATATCTTCACCTCATAAATATATATGGCTGTCGTCAAAGTGATTGTTGGTTTACAAGCATAGCAATTGATGCAGTCTCAAGAAGAGTGTTGATCTCTATGCTTAATTCAAAGCTAGAAATGGAGTTGGCTAAGTTCCAAGTAGTGCTAACATCAATAACTTCATATCGTAAGTTGAAGCTTGAGAGTCAATGTTGAAAGATTACATGGAGAAGACGTGGTATAAAGTTGAAACATAGAAAGTCAGATTTAGTTCGACCATATGCTAAGTTTGCTTACAACGTGAAGAAGCTCTACGATAAACTAGCAAAATGTAACTTAAAACTTGGTGAGCATTGGTCCCCATTTTTTTTTTCCACCTTGGGTCTCCATTATAGCAAATCTTGTGCCGTTTATGGAAGCTGTTAGACTCGAGGGCGAGTCTTTTTCAACTAGGGGAGAATGATGCAAGATCAAGAATGCTAAAAATCCAAGAATTTCAAGAAATTGAAGACGTCTAAGAATCTATTCAAGATTAGGATTTCTTTTCCTTAAAGATTGGGATTCCTTATTTCTTGTTTCCTAGTAATTTAATTTTTGTTTTAGTAGGGTTATATTTGTAGTTTTAGTCAAACTAGGATTGTTAGTTGGTATCTCATTCCTACTAGAATTCTTTTTCCTATTATAGTTCGGATAGGTTTTCTTTGCCTTATTCTTATTCTAGTATAATTAGGATTAATTTTCCTTTACCTTACCAATTTTACTCATTGTAAGGCCTATTTAAAGGGCTTAATATGCTGAAAATAAATATTGGTGATTAGTTTTTCTAAGCTTTTGCTTAAAAAACGTGATTAATCTTTTATTTCATTCTTCTTCCTTTATTCAACACTTCTTGCAATTTTGCGAGATTGAGGAACGTGTGGGTGAGGTTTATTTCCATCTTACATTCTTCTAATGTGAGTTTGAAGAACGCTTTCGCTAGTTTTGTGAATAACTTTAGCGGGGTGCTTTTGTTTTTCTCTCTTCTTTGTACTTGAGAGGTGCAAAACCTTGAAAGTACATCATTTAATCATTCATGTCTATAAATGTCGACACTGCTTATCTCTATTTGTTATGCTATCAACTATGTGTTGTGATATTTTGGAATTTTGACTTAAGTGACTGTAGCCAAGCAATACAAGCAAGGGATTAGCTAATCCTTGTAGGAAAAAAATGTGAAGAATTTTGACAGACCTGCATTCACTTATACCGTGGTTCTATTTGTTGATTTGCATCTGTTGTGAGCCGTTCAATTAAGGAAGCAAGAGAGAGAAGCCAAAGGGTGTATGTGTGGGGGAAATACTTGCTAGTTGTATCTATTGGAACCGGAGAGGGTCGTGATTTCTATTTAAAGCTCCAACTCTAAATCAGCTAAGTACTCCTTTTGGGCAGCATAATATGATCATGTGATTGGCATGAGTACTGCTTGTGACTTTTCTTAACTTCAGTCCTTTTGATACTTATAATAGATAGCATATACCACTTGAAGTGGCATTGTCTAGATATCAGATAAGTTAACTATGGGATATTTGTTTTTGTTCATTGCTTTGAAGCACTTTGGTCATGTCCCAGATGCAGCTGGTATTGATACAGCGAGTTTTGTTTGCTACATGTTGAATGCAGACCGTGCGCGAGGACAGCCCTGCATTTGGTGCTTCTATATTGCGGTGTTTCTACTCGTCGTAGGCATTGTGATGTATCAGTGAGATGCTTTGTTAATTGTTACTTATATACTAATGAACTTTCAGGATGTGAAAGCTATCCCTTGAGGTTGACCTGCTCAAGAAGTTATATGTATATTTTGTGAACTGGAAGTTATATTCCATCTGCTACTTCTTATTGAGTGCTTTTTTTTTTTTTAATTTCAAACGTAGAACAAGACGCGTATGTGAAGGATATCTGTAAACCATATTGCTTCTGGACTAGTTTTGGGCTGCTAATCACTAGATGTATATTTTCTGCAGGACTAACTTCTCATTTTTTTACTTTTTTTGGGCAACAAAGGATTAATCTTTTTTCACTTTGACAGTAACATTGACATAACCAAGATGCATTGCAAGGATAAAGCATTTTAGGAAGCTAATTTTAGTTGCTTTGATCATTTGGGGGTGGGGGTACAAAAGAACAAGCATATAGGAGAAAAACAATTTCGGATGAACTTCGTTTAAGAGGGTCCTATCTATTCTAAGGTAGTGAGTGCAAGCTTTTGTCATCTTTGTTATTTGGATGAGAACTATTCCTACTATAAATTCTTTTATCCTGTTTCTAAACAGAGTGACAAATTGTATTATAGTTTTACTCTTTCTTAGAATTCGTATACATGTTGTTCCATCTTTCAAAAGGTTAAAAGTTAAAATATTTAGGTGCAACGGTTGTGTTTCACCCCGTGAGAGATCAAAAATCATATGTGGCCCCCTAAACTTGTCCGGATTTTCCTCTCAAACACCTTATCTAAGATTTGTTTCAATTGAACACTTATGCTACTCAAAATTTATACGGCCTATTAGACACTTTTGAAAGCCAGCAGAAAAATAAAGAGAGTGTAATATGTAACGAAATGGTGGTACCTTGAGCTCCCATAGTAGTACATTGATGTTAAAGTGTTAAAGTGCTAAGTCAGGATGAAATTTCAGCATTTATAGTTTAGTCCTACTTTGTATGTTATTTTCATTAGTTACCCTACTAGCTAGTTCATGCTATTATACTCTGTTAGGGCTCATTGTGAACATATCTTGAATGAAAAATTGATTTTCATTTTCTCTGTTTTTTTTTTATTTTCTTTCTTTTTAATTCTTGCTTTACATTTTCATGGCGATTCCAACATGGGAATCGCTACAATTGGTATCAGAGCTGACAATCCTCGGCTGTTCATTGGTGTTAATGGTAGAGTCCGGTGGAGGTCCAAATCAATTGGAGCAACAGATTCAAGCCTTTATGGAAAGATCGGATAGAAAACTACAGCATATGGAAAAATGGTATCAAAATCGTTTCCGGACCTTCGATAGGTCAGAAAACCAGTATAACCTTCAATGGTCGGAGTGTGAGCAACGGGTTTCCTCTGACCCGTGTGCATATCATCAATATCCTGGTGCAAATCCAAGTTTTTATCGAGAATCCTGTGGTGATTTCATTGGTGGATTCGCTAACCCAACAAATGGAGGATGGAATTATCTCGATTCACCCACAAGTGCTTAATCTTACCAAATTCCATGAGCTTATCAGATTGATAATACCAATCCAGGTTTCTATTTCGTTCAGTTCGGTGATGGTTCGATGGTGTCAATGACTGGCACTGAGCTAGAGAACTTGCTTAACTCTAGCTATGGGTATTTTGAGAACAAAATGTCGGAAGTAGATTATCCATGTGTTGAGCCTCCGTTCGTTTTGACTAAAGCCGAAGCTGGAGATATTGAAGACGAAAGAGTCGCTCTTTCAAGGATTGAATTAGATTCAAGTATCAAAAAGATGGAGAACTGGGTCAAATATGTACCCATGGAAATCAAAGGTGAAAATGCAGACAAGGTGTTTGCTGAAATTTTTAACGACCTTGAATCATTTTCCACTGTTTCCAAGAGCATCCCAGACTCAAATGTTTTGAAACCAAGTGACGGAGATGAGGATACACAAGCGAAAATGTAGTCGAGTTGAAAGATGAAAACAAAATCTCGGATATTCCTTATTCAGATGCATCTTTTGAGGTTGAAGATGAGCTAACGGGAACCCAGAAATTGAGGAGGACCGAGTGTTTGACAAAAGTCCTCTGAAGGATGATACAAAGTTAGAGCCAAATGAGGAAAAAGTGTTTGACAAAAGTCCTCTAAAGGAGGAAGCGGGGGCTTAAGATGACAAGCAATCATTAGTAGCTGGAACCTCACCCACACATCCGATCTTGTTCTCGCTGAAAATGGTTCCCGATTGTATCGCATTAAATTTTGAAGGGGTTGCATATCCAGATATTGCTGTCAAAGTTGTTGCGGATAATTATATAACCTCTGGTAATGTTGCCAAAATCACTTATCCTTTATTTGGAGGATGATGCTGACATTGACGGCACTAGTGAGTGGGAGAAGATTCACCAGCTTTTCACAGCCTTTGTTACGAAAGGACTTAATCTTTCTATTCCACAACTCCAAGTCCCTTTTTTAGATTTTGCCTCTGCGGGCATTTGAGGGCTGCGGCCTCATAGGAGAGTTGATGAGCAATTTGTTCGTGAATGATGATGGGAAGTGTGACACTGAAGATTGTTCCAGATTCCTGGTAATATCACCCTTCTTGAACTACAGTTACAGTGATGTCAAGTTGGAAGGGGTTAATAATTTGAAATAGTTAGATGTCAAGTTGAGTCCTATGGATGAGTTTAAGGCTGATTTGATACCTAACGAATGTAATACTTTTCACGGATTGACCTGCTACATGCAAAAATTTACTAGAGTTGGAACTGCTGTTGGAGACACTCTCAGGTTTCATAGTTACAATGATCCATATGAGGGAGCATATTTGACTGATAAGATGTGGCTCCAAGATAATTTCAGCACTCATATCTTTTGGTTTGAAACTCAGCAAAGTCTAAAAGTTAGTAAGTTTCCCCTAGTTTTGTTGGAGATTATTTTGACTGATACACATATGTATATCAAAATGAGCTGGCTAGACAAAGGGAGCAGGATGTTCAACAAGATGATTGGTAGGAACCTTCTTACTGCGCTTGTGTCTCCTGTACCACTTGTTGCTTCGTATAATAGTCTTATGATGTGCATGAGGGTTTTTGGATCACTTGTACCTTGGACTGACATATATGTGAAGCCACACGTAATAGAGCATGTTGAGGCTCTTTTACTTGTTTTTAGTTGTGCTGGTATAACTGATCCTTGGTGGATGATTCCAGGATTAGTAAGTGGAGATTATATGGTGAAATATCGAGCTATGTACTTTAAATATTGCAGAATTCCGGGTATTCACGAAATGACACGGTTGGCATGTATAGAGAAGGCCAAGGTTGCTGATTTGATTGCTTTTGTTGCGTCTACAAGTTCCAATGAAGAAGGTTGTTATATTGATGCGTCTGGATCCCATTGTGTTCATGTCTTTAGAGCTCTTGGCCTTTCCAGCACTATTGGATTGATTTGTGATCTGCCTAGTGAGTTGCTAGCGTTGCTTCTAAATTTACAGAAGATTGCAAGTTTTATCCAGCATATAGAATGGTAAGTTTGAGCTCAATGATTCTTCACTTCATTATGATATGTTTCTGATAGAAGCGTTATCTTTTCTTGGTTCCAGTTGTATTTTAGACTTTCAACACTTTGAGGGTGGAGTGTATAGACTGATTCTGAACCAAAATGCATTTATCCCTATCGTTGGTAGTAGATACATGTTAATAGATGATGAAATCTTATTCCTTTTGCATCAATTCTTTCTGGTGGTAGTGAGGTGGACCATCCAAAGAAGTGCAATGAAGTAGTAAGGATTGTGGTTGTCATTCAATTAGTTAGGCTCTTAAGTTTACTGCACCATGACGGACATAGAGGGGATTGGTTGTTTATTTTGATTGTGGTTCTTTGGTTTCATTTGGTATCGGTTAATGAAATGCTAGGCCAAGACTTTCTACTGGTGTTTCTAGCTTTTGCTAACTTGACTAAAACCTTGAAGCAGATGATGATTTTACATGGGCTGAATATGAGGTTTCACACTGTTAACAAATCCCAACCTTGAGGACAAGGTTGCTATAAGGGGATGGAATGTAACGAAATGGTGGTACCTTGAGCTCCCAAAGTAGTACATTGATGTTGAAGTGTTAAAAGAAGTGCCAAGTTAGGATGAAGTTTCAGTATTTATAGTTTAGTCCTACTTTTTGTGTTATTTTTATTAGTTACCTTACTAACTAGTTCACGCTTTTATACTCTGTTAGGGCTCATTGTGAACATATCTTGAATGAAAAATTGATTATCATTTTCTCTGTTA